TGCTGTTTGACCTCAAAGATAGCAAAAGAGTCAGAGCCAGTGATGATCATATCATCCACATAGAGTAAGAGAGTAACAAAACCAGCCAATGTATGTCTCAGAAATAAAGTAGAGTCAGAAGCAGAACAATGAAACCCAAGCTCGGTAACAGCAATTTGAAAGCGATCATACCAAACACGAGGAGACTGCTTCAGACCATACAGAGCATGCCGAAGACGACAAACTTGGCCAGAGGAATGGAGAAGACCAGGAGGAAGACACATGTAAACCTCCTCAGTGAGATGGCCGTTAAGAAAAGCATTCTTAACATCCATCTGATAAAGAGACCAAGAACGAATAGCAGCGACAGAGATCAAAGTATGGACAGTAGTCATCTTGGCAACGGGAGCAAATGTTTCCTCATAATCAATACCATACTCCTGAGAGAAACCTTTGGCAACCAGACGAGCTTTGTAGCGCTCAAGAGACCCATCAGAATGAGTCTTGACTTGTAGACCCATTTGCAACCAACCAAGTTCTTACCAGCAGGCAAAGGAACCAGCTCCCAAGTACTAGTTTTCTGTAGAGCAGACAACTCATCTTCCATAGCGTGAACCCAATGAGGGTCCTGACATGCCTCTTTGTAAGACTGAGGTTCTGAAAATGAGTGAATAGCAGACAAAAAGTACGATAGGAAGCAGAAAAACATGTATAGACCAACCTAACCTGTTTGGAGGATGACGCGTTCGAGTAGGATATCGGTGTGCAACAAGATCAGAGTCGGCAGCAGCAGGAGGATCAGCAGTAGGGGTAGAGACAACCGGTGGAGGAGGAGCCTTGCGACGAGAATAAACTAACAACGGAGGAGGAGAACAAACTGAAGGAGGAGAAGCAACCAGAGGTGAAGCAGGAGGAGAAGATGAAACAAGCTCAGGAGGAACTGTGGAGATGTACTCATCAGACAGTACCTCAAAAGGAAATGGATCAATGTGAACCAAATCTTCTTTGGAAACTGGAGCAATGACAAGAGGAAGCTGAAAGTAAGGCAGACGTTCAAGAAAAGAAACATGACGGGAGACATAAAGACGACGGGAAACAGGGTCGTAACACCGATAGCCTTTCTGAGTAGGACTATAACCCAAAAAGACACAGAGGACAGACCGAGCACTAAGTTTGGTCCTATCTTTGCGGGAAAAAAGGACAAAATAGGCAAACCCAAACACACGAAGGAGGGAGTAGTTAGGAAGTTGGGAGAACAAAGCCTCATAAGGAGACCGACCAGAAAGAATGGGAGTAGGCATGCGATTGAGAAGAAAAGCAGCAATAAGAACTGCCTCCTCCCAGAATAGAGCCGGAACTAAGGCAGAGAAAAGAAGAGACCTAGCTGTCTCAAGGAGATGACGGTGTTTAGGATTCGCGAAGACTAATCGCAACCTTAGGTTTTCAAACACGGCTCTGATACCATGTAAGATTTATGAATAGCTTTCTGTATCTCATATATTCAATGTGTATCAATTACAATCAGACCTTAGAATATATATAGCCCTAACTCCTAAACCAAAAAGGAAATACAAATACAATACTATCATGACTCTAATACAATCATGCCTCTAATAGGACTCTAAGTTTAATTTGTAAGACTCACAATATATTTCACAATATATTCTCACAGCCTTGATAGCCCAATCCATTCTATCCAAGATGGCATCCCAATATGCTATAACAAACGGCATCGCGAGTGCGTGTCTGAACCTCCCACTAGGAAGTAGCGCAGTGTCAGCACTCATGCCCCTTGATGACATTGTCGATGGGGTTCCCAAACCCACATGGAGACCAAAGACAACACTCACTAGTATGTTAGTGGCCGGCCCTATGGTTGCCTAAAGGTTGCTCATTTGTAACCCATCACAGGTTAGGAGACAAGTTGAAGCACACCATGCCCCCTTATAATAGCATCTTAAGCCCTTTTCTGACTGGTACAAGGAAACATCTCACATGTTTGAGGAATCATAATGAAATAATTCAATAATTCTCAATATTATCCAAATATTAGAATTTACAGAAATGCCACCAAGGCATGCTTGACACCCACTAGTGTGCAAGCATGGGCCGGCATGCGAGCAAAGGCACTGGGCGTGCATTGGACTACTTGGGGCCAACACGCCATACTAGGGTGCCACGCCACCCGCAAGAGTTGCAAGCAGAAGAAATGTCAGCTTGTGACACTAGGCCAGCTTAGGCTCAAACCCCTTGGTAAGGCCCTCCTTGGTAAGGACTTGGAAGCTCGTCTCCAAACTTGGCTTGATTTTTTTTAAAAAATCAAGAGCCCAACAAAAGTCTAGTTCAAGGGCTCAAGCTAGCTTAGCTCACATCTCCCTCCTAGCCAACCGCAAATTATCTTAGCCATCATATAATTTGCAATGCAATTCGTACAATTTGATACGAATTGCAACTAGGAATCAAAAATCCCTTAAATCGTGTAATTCAAAAATGGAATCGAATGAATCGGGTTGACTCATCGATACATAAAATTATAGACGATTCAGTTCGTGTATTTTTTTCCCTCCCAGCGCTTTAAAATAACATCGCTTGTTGGAGTCTTGAATCCCCAAAAAAAAAATCGATACATAACATACTAGTTGAATGATGAAATTAGGGCTAAACGAAGAGCTAAATCGAAGACGAAAGTAGAGCAAACTAGTTGACCAAGAAATCAAGCAACAATAGTAATGCTCTATTCTACCCAAAATATGAAGTAATGTAAAGCATATTTGATGAAAGTTGTCTTCTTCCCATTGTCATTTCTCATGGGTTTCATATTCTTCTCTATCTACTTGTTACTGTGGATTACTTTTGTTTGCCAACTCTTTGTGTCTTTTTAGGTTTTTGTGTGGGTCTCGTTGTTTGGTGAGAAGAACATTAAATTATGCTGAAAAGGAATACACATTTACCTTCTTTAATAATATATATATATATACATATATATATATATATCTTGTTGTAGCACTTGCACGCTTGCACTTTAATACATATTATATTACATATATTATACATGCCAATTGAAAATATATTATATAGAAAATTACATATGCTATCAAAAAAATATTATAATATATATATATATTAATATAATATTATAAATGTATATATAAAATGAAGCAATTCGATTCGATTCACAATTCTTTGTTTTTTTTCGGAAAATCAATCCAAGATTTGACAACCATAATCTTTAGCTCATATCTCCCTTCTAGCTCACCCGCTATATCCATGAGATGGACCTAGGCCAATATTTGAAAAATTAATCGAGCCTTGAATTTGGGGATAGTCCAACTACTTTGGCCTAGGCTTACTAGGAACTAGATTCGGCCCAGGTCAAGAGGCCCTTAAACAGTTGTACCCCATCGGGCCCTAAATGTAACCAGCCACATACTTGTTGTTTCAAATATTGCTTCCCACCCCTCGCTCTAACAATCTCTAGACAAGAGCATTCTTAACTAATAGTATTCATCAGTCTCATTCTTAACTAACCAAAGCATATCATACCATAAAGGCAACCAACAATACATCTCATAGGCACTCACCAATCACGCAATATGCTCATTTATCCACATCACTCTCTCCACCTTCATGAATGACCACTCCAAGATAACCAAATCAATCTCTGTTGGTATTAATCAACCACCTTTTGTGGTGATAAATCTCAACCACCATAATTAGTTATTCACTAATCCAATACATAATTGGACCTTTTAACCCAATGAATTTTACTATTAGAATGGCTAATTTTAAAAGCCAGATCTATATAGTTCTCCTTAAACTATAACGAAATAAGATCACAACATTATGATGGAAATGGAAAGGCATTGGATGAAGATAAATTGAAGTTTTGGGAATTAATGATTTACTTTAGCATTATTTATATTTATTGGGTTTTATATTATTATGATTTAATTATTGTAAATATATATATATATATATATTATTTAAAAGCCAGATCTATATAGTTCTCCTTAAACTATAACGAAATAAGATCACAACATTATGATGGAAATGGAAAGGCATTGGATGAAGATAAATTGAAGTTTTGGGAATTAATGATTTACTTTAGCATTATTTATATTTATTGGGTTTTATTTTATTATGATTTAATTATTGTAAATATATATACATATATTATATTTGGTTACTTTAATTAGGGTTTCTGAGGATCTCTATCTTTAATGTATTGTGATTTATTAGCAGTGATTTTGGGTATTGATTATTGAAAATTTGATTTGGGATTGGTTCCCCAATTTCTTCCTCTTTCTCTTTTTATCTCTTTCTACATCTTCATTCTCTTCTTCACTTATCTCTCTTCGCCTTCTCCCTATGAGTGCTGATTCACATTACTTTGTGATGTTCCTGATTATAAAAATAGAAATTGATATGTAACTTAGAAACCCATAAATAGAAACAAAGAAATGTGTTTTATCTACTTCCTTCTTTGTTTAACACTAATCAACTTCTGATGTAAATGTGTAAGACTTTTATGGAGATTAAAGCAAAATTAAGTTTCCTACACGGGAACTAGTAAGGTTGAATCATGTGGGCATCACCTAAAACAAAAAGTCAATGTTAAGCCACAAAAGCAAGCTACATTAGCAATAAATAAATTTTGAGAAAAAGCAGAGTAGCTTATTTTTGCTACTACACGGAATTTCATAGCAATTATTCTAAGGAGCGGCATGGATAGTTTGGCCTAAGAAGCCAATGATGAAGTCTGCTAGAATGACAAAGTGGAAATATTCAATAAGCAAATCTCTAAATACGTACAACTGCACAAGCATGAAGTACAGTGAATTAACTGGTATAAGAAGCAATAACATTTGTATTTAGAAACTAAAGCAGTTCATATAAGCTACACTACTTTCTAACTACATTCTTAGCTGCCTAACACTATCATTATCATTATAAACACAAATGCATAATCTCAACTTGATACAGAGCATAAAAATGTAAAATCATATTCAATTTGCACAAACCAGGAAAACGTCCACAGCCTCCAATTCTACCCACAGCATAAACACCATCTGCGACTTCTCGATTGTCTTCGGTCTACCCGTCAGGCATTTTGCAACAATCGCATCACATACTTCTTTAGCATATCTTTATACACAAGACACAACAAATCAGAACTACAAATTCAAACAAAAAAAATCAAATACAAATGCCTATCCCACATCATGCAAAACAAACTACTCCATATCTATTAAAAAACAATCAAAAAATTCATTACCTTCCTACATCAGCATCGGCAGCTTTCAAGTAGGCAATTAGGGCATCGAGAGCCTTCTCCTGAACCGGAGCATTAGAATCCGCAACAGTCTTCCTAAAAAACGGCCCTAACAATCAAACCAAAAGCAATTCAACAAAAATGTGAGATCTAAATATACAATCCATCGTTTGAGACGTGACACTGCGAGAAAAAAAAAAAAAAAAAACAAGGATCGACGAAACGATAATCAGAAAGCAACGAAAGAAGATCGAACGAGAGGAAATGAAAACCTAACTGACCGAATTCACGGAGACGATGATCCTTGGGATTGGTGATGGAATCGCAAACGGAGGAGAGGTCGATGTTGGCGTCGTTCCTGACCTTCCAGTTCTTGTGCATCAGTCGATCCTCCCATGGAAGTTTCTTCGCTTCCTTCAACAATTTCTCATCCTCCGACATTGCAACAATCTATATATATATCAAACGATCTCTGAATAAAAACAATATTAGAGAGAGAAGAAGAGCGGAGAGGGAGAGTAGTATGGTTTTCTCTGAGGAGTACGAGAGAGCGAGAGAAAGAGCGTGCGATGATTTTTGAGAGAGATTTTGGGATGATGTAATGTACGTTTGAAGTGGTTTGCATTTCGAAATCAGTTTTTTGAATTTTTTAAACGAGCCGTTTGAATTTCTCGGCACCATCTATCAACACAATAAGGCCAAGATTGTCGTCCTCTAAAAAAAATTTATAAAGTCAAAAAGTCATTATCTTATTTAAGTCGCATCATCTTATTTAAGTCACATCACTTCTCTAACATATCACTTCAAATCCAACCCAAATTCAACCCATATTTCATAAAAAGTCAAAAAATACACTTATTTAGTCTTCCCAAACTTAGCCTAAATACTTTTTTTGCACATCCTTCATGCTACCCACACTAAAAAAATTAATTCCTAATTTAGTTTACTCACTACACATATAGTTCATTCCAGATTTACCCTCTCTCACACACACACACACACACCCCGGACTCCAAACCCAGTTCCACACGCCCATTGAAGCTGAGCTCCATCTTCAATCTTGAGAATATACACACACCCATTGAAGCTTAATGTGTGCAAATATATTGAAGCATTCCATCACACAGAAGCTTACCGTGTGCAACCCAGGTGTGCAAATACATTGAAGCATTTCATCTACCAAGCTGCATCCCATTGAAGCATTCCATCACATTTTCAATCATCATTAGGTGAGTTTACTTTTGAATCATCATTCCTATTTAATTTGCAACGTAGAGTTTTGTTTTTTTCATTTTGAAAACGAACGAAGACCCACGGATCGTGAACAAACCGTTCGGAACTGGGTTTCCGAAATTGAGGAATTTGTTCGGAAGTAGGAATCCGAAATTGATGATTTATTTCAACAGTCGATTTCCGAAACTTTTTGATTATTTCGGCAGTCAACTTCCGAATACATTAAATGCAAACAACAATCAACTTCCGAAATTAATTTTTTGTTTCAAATTTCAACTTCCGAACAGTATATATATTTTCGGATTGCAACTTTCGAACAGTGTTTTTTTTTTTTCTCCCTTGAAAATAGGGTAAATTACCGCTTTGCACCCTATACTTAGTACAAAATCTCACTTTGACCCTTGCATATGAAATTATTACAATTAACTCTCTGTATTTCTAGTCAAATCTTATTTTGATCCCTAGACATAAAATCATAACAGTCAATCCCCTGCACTTTTATTTAAATCTCACTTTAGTTCCTAGACAAGTGGTAATGTTCCTCTTTTGTTACTTTATTTTTAAATCATTAACAAAATCTAGTCATGTAACAAAAATATAACGATAAAATGAGGGGAAAAAATGAAAATTATCCATGTTTCCCACCAATACACTTAATCCTACGTGATAAACGCATGAGAGTTATATAATATTATATATATGTGTGTGTTCGTATGATAAAAATTGGGATGAAAAGGCAAGAAAATAGAAATTTTGAAATAAAAAAAAATACGATAAAGAAATCAAAGAAAAAGAAATATGAATAAACAAAAGATTGTGTTACCATAAAAAATAGAATTTAATGATTTCAATTTATGCAAAAACCCTAGTCCATCTTTTTAATTGTTCACAATCTGTATTTTGTTTTTAGCCTAGTACAGTCATATTTTGATCTAAATTTTAAGATAAAGTGTGTATTGGTGAAATTAGTAGATGATTTTCCTTTCTTATATTTATGTCGAAGTCACATTCTTATCACATAACTAGATTCTGTTAAAAATTTAAACAATTGAGTAACAAAAATGGAATATTGGCACTTATGTAGGGACCAAAGTAAGATTTGACTAAAAGTATAAGGGGTTGATTGTCACAATTCCATATGATAGGACCAAAGTGAGATTTGACCAGAAGTGTAGGAGTTTGACTGTGATGATTTCATGTGTAGGGGTCAAAGTGAAATTTGGTGCAAAGTGCAGGGATGCAAGATGTAATTTACCGTTGAAAATATCTTTAGAGTGCCGTTAAGATTTTTTTTTATTGGACAAATTACATTAATGGTCTTTATAGTTTAAATTTTGTGTTATTTTAGTCTTTAATCTTTCAATTATGATATATTTAACTATAAATTTTAAATTTTATTACAAATAAGGACAATTGAAGATATTATTACTCTATTTCAAAAGTAACGTCATCAATTTGATAAAATATAAACTAGTTTGACAAAAATTAATGTCAAAAAATTATTTTTAAATTTTTAAAAATTATTTATACTCACTAAAGATAAAATTATATAAAATGATAAATTTTTATATCATTAATTTTTTATTTTATTACCAAATTAATTTTTAGTATGTTTTTGGATGATGATTATGTAATGGGTGATTATTTTTGTTATATTTTTTTTATGATTATCATGTAATAGATGGTTCTATTTGTTATTAACAGATATTTTTGAATGGTTATCATGTAATGGATGATTATTAGGCTTTTAATGTATAATGGATATATTTAATATATGAAATGTTTTTAGTTTTAGATTTTTTGATTTAATGGATTGGTTTAATAATAATATGAAAATTGTCGTCATATTTGACTTTTGAAAAGGTAAAAAATAATTTAACGAAAATAAATATCAAAAAAAATTATTTATACTCTTCCGAAAAATAAAATTATATAAAAATAATGTGTTTTTAATATTTTTTTTTCACCAATTTAATTTTTAGTTTCTTAGAAAAAAAAAATTCTGAAGATAGATTCTAAAAACAAAACAAAACGGAACTTATAACAAAAAAAAGTTCTAACATTATTCATTAAAAAAATGTCATTATATTTCAAATAACATATAAATTAACCAATATAAAATAAGTTGTATGACGACTTTGCCCTTCAAATGAACAACAATGTCTTGAATTGTCCTTATTTGAAACGAGATTCAAAATTTATGGTTAAATGTATCACAATTGAAACGTTAGAGATCAAAATGACATAAGTCTCAAACTATAAGAACTATTAATGTAATTCACTTTTTTTAATTTTTTTAGCCACTATCTATTATTTTTTTATAAGAACATGAAAAATTACAAAAATAAATAAATATGTCCTAATAGTTGCACTTAGGCCTATTTTGGCAAGTTAGTAGCCAGTTTTTTATCTTTTGACTTTTTTGGGTCATATCACCTCTATACTTTTTTTTCAGTTTTTTCAAAAAAACTAAAAGAAATAAAATTAAAAAGTTGACTTTTAACCTACTTTTCAAAATAGACCTTAATTCCCATCAAATCATATTCAAAATAATTCCTAGTAAATCGTCGCTAAAAATAAATATTTTTGACAATTTTTTTTTCACATGTCGCTAAAAATTGACAATTAGTACCTTTTTTTGTTACGATTTTTATAAATTGTTGCTACAGCTTACAATTAGTGACGTTTTTCTTTGACAAATTTTTCAAACTATTGCTGAAAGTTGAAATTAGTGACTTTTTTGTTGCAATTTTTTCAAACTGTCACTAAAAGTTATAACTAATGACATTTTTTAGGATAATTTTTAAATTGTCGGTGAAAATTAACAATACAAGACATTTTAATAGTATTCGATGAAAAATGCCCTTAAATCTATTAGAAATATTAGGATCTACACGTAAATTCTCAACAAAAAAAAAATGAGGGTTTGAACCTTATAACAAAATAAATTTTGTGTTTTTAAATTTATTAATTTAAATTCTAAATTTTTTATTTATTTTCAATGTAAACCATATGCATATTTCTGCTAAATAAAATGGGGATTTACTAGGTCCTAATAGGTGGACTTATTGTCCAATAGGTCCTGTAAAAATTAATGTAATTTTTAATCAAACACTACTAAAAAAAGTCACTCATTTTTAATTTTCAGAGACAATTTAAAAATTTTGTCACAAAAAAATCACTAATTATAAGTTTATTAACCGTTTAAAAAAATTGTAACAAAAAAAGAGTCACTAATTTTAACTTTCAACGATAGTTTGAAAAATTCGTCACAGAAAAAAAGTCAGTAATTGTAAGTTTTAGCGACAATTTATAAAAATCATGACAAAAGTAAGTCACTAATTGTTAATTTTTAGTGACACGTAAAAAAATGTCAAAAAAATTATTTTTAGCGGCTATTTTACAATGACTTATTTTCAATAGAATTTGATAGAAATTAAGTCCAACTATTAGGACCTATTGATAGCTCACCCTAAATAAAATCAACGGAAAAAAAAGAAGAAGAAGATATTTTAGTCATTAAACTTAATGTAAATTGATATTTTAGGAGTGATTCTACTTACACCACTGATTTATCTATTTACATCCCCTATCTCATTACACCACAATAAATAAATAAATGAGATACTCATTACATCCATTATACTACCAAAATTAACTCTAAACTAAAAACTCTTCAAAACCTTTTCAGTTTTGTCTTTACACCGATAACTTATTTTGTAATATAATATTAAAATTTTTGAATTACTCCAGTGTCATAGTACGAGACAAATTATTTTTTTCAAGCCATTTGTTGTCGTTCGATTGGATAATTTTACTTTACTTTAACAAGAAATTAGTTGGAGCCCATTTGTGAAGTGCATGTTCGGTGATATATTTCTATACAAATTAAACTACTCCTGTGTCATGTTGCCGAACTAAAATAAATTTGTCCAGCCATCTGTCACTTTACGTGCATTATAGATTGTCTTCATTGTTGTCCCATTGAAAGCATCCCTTTATTTCAATGTAATCAATATCTCTTTTGGTCGCACTATACTCTTTGGCATGTCAACTAATAAGGATGTTTCAATGTAATCAATATCTTTTTGGTCGCACCATACTCTTTGACATGTCAACTAATAAGAATGTTTCTTACTCAGATAATCTACTAGCAAATTAGTGCCTTTCAAGATGTTCAGCAGCTAGATGATTGTACTTGCATTACTACAATGACTAGAAGCATAATCTTTCCAAGCAAAAAATATAATAAAAGATGATGAAATATTGTAAAGAGAAAAGTAAAACTCTGTATATGTTATTGTATTGAATCAGGTACAATGACTCCTATATTTATAGGAGGAAAGAATGTACACTAAGTAAAAAGGTTAAAGGAGGAAAGAATGTACACTAAGTAAAAAGGTTAAACTAAGTAGGAAGATATA